TGAGCACTGATTGTTTCACCTCCATCCCTGTGCACTCAGCACATCCCACAGGAGTGCTGCCCTACACTGCCAGCACTTCATTCCCTGCTCTGGCAAAAGCTTGGAGTGAGTGAGATTCTTAATGACAAATCTGGGACAAAATTCTGTGCCTTGGTCTGAAAAACAAACACCCAGTACTGTGGGGGAAGCAGGCTCTGATTATGGGACTTCACAAGAGCCCAGAACACCTTTTGATCCCTGTTTCTCTGCCTTTTCCACCAGAATCAAAAGCACTGAGCCTCAAAGCCCCTCATGGACCCCAGGTCACTCAGGGGTGTGCACCAGCTCAATACTGGAGCTCCTCAATATTTAAATTCCTTCAATAGCAGCTTCTTTCTGTGCAGAAAACTGCCCTGGCACATGAGGAACACACCAGGTTAATCCAGCCCTGCCATGTGGATCTCATCTGCCCCCAAAGCACATCCCAAGCACTACTGGGATTCTCTTGGGGACATCACTCTGGAGAAAGGAGTTTGTCAGTGCCTGGACTTTCTTGTCCAGTAAATGCATCCAGGGCAGTGTGCTTGAATAGCACCCCACAGTGGAGGATGGAAACACCCAGTGAGCTCAGGCTGTTGTAAGGAAAGCTGAACTCACCTCAGCCCCAGGGAGGCTGCAGGGTAACCCTGGGCTGAGATGAGACATCTGCACCAGGTGTCCTGAGCCAATTAATAAAGAATCAAATCTTCTGAGAGAGCCAGACCAGCATGGCAGGAACACACACAGAGCTGAGCCCAAAGTGTAACAACTGGATAATTTTACTCTACAAATTTACTTTAAAACAGTAAATTTTGAAGGAAGCAAAGCAGGCTTCAATCTGTGTACTCCTTCCTGAGCACACAGGAATCAGGAACAGGCACCTGGATTTGGATCCATCCATACACTGCCATCACTGTGCTCAGCTCCTGCTGTGATTTCAGACTCCCACCTAACACCAAATACAGTTGGATTTTATACCCTCCTCGTGTGGAACAGCTTGGCCAGAGCACATTGAACTCTGACAGCCAGGAAGGCAGCACTGTCACACACAGCCTGGCAAAACCATCCTGGCAATCAGCCCGCCTCCTAAAGATTCACCCCAGATAGCTCAGACTATTTTTCCTCAGCTCTGAAATTCTGAAAACACCATTCTAAGAACAGATTTGTGCCTTGTTTAGAGCTCCACACAATTTTCCATTCTGCCCTCATCGAGGTGTGCACAGCACAGCCTCCAAGCCAAACACCCAGAATCACTGTCAGTAACACTTTGTCCTCCTGCCATGAAGGATCAGGATTTGAAACAGTCCCCAGAAGGATATTAAAAGGTGAGAAGGCAAAATGGACTTCTACCTCTGTAGCAAGCAGTGGTTATTTATTAGAAATAAAGAACACTTACTGTTAGTGAAAATCCTGTTATACCCCTGATCTTCTGCACACTCAGAGCTGGACTTGTCAGACTTCCAGCAGCAGAAATCATTAATGTTTTGTATGTGGGTCACTTTCTGGGCTGTTCTTTCACCTTACAGCTCTGGAAACATTACTGGAGCCGTGGATTTCACAGGAGCCAGTCCCCAAAGGAAGTGTCTCTAAAGCACACTGCACAAGGCCTGGCTTCCTGCTGCCCCAGATCCAGCAATTCCTCTGGGCAATGGCAAACAAGAATCTCTAAGAGGGTTTTGCTGTTAAATCTTTTCTTGTTAAGAAGAGAAAGAGAAAATCTGCTTTGAGACAGTGGCACTGTGGGGAGTTCAAACCCAGGGATCACAAAAGAGGCACACTGACAACAAGCTCCTGGCTGGTGGGGAGATTTAATGCACAGCAAGTTTCCTCTTCCTCCAAAAAACAAACAAAAAATCCCCAAACAATCCATCACACCTGCAGGCCCACTGCCCTTTCTGAATTAGAATAAAGACCACACAGAAAATGTGTGTGGTGACTGCAAAACCAGCCAGAAACGCAGCCTGCAAACCCCTGGGGAAGGGAATTTGAGGCTGCCTCCATTTCCTGCACACTGTCCTCATTATGGAGCAGCACTGACAAAACCCAGCCCCTCCACCCTCACAGGAGACACCAACACAACTGCCCAGAGGTTACTGCAAACAAGGGGCTTTCAAATAAAACCTATTTTGAAAAAGCTTGAAAAGAACATTCCTTCCTCAGGTGTCACACAAGTGCCCCAAAGTGAACACCTCTCCAAGATCCCAACTTTAAAATGTGAGCCAAAATGGCTTCCTTTCCTTTCCTTTCCTTTCCTTTCCTTTCCTTTCCTTTCCTTTCCTTTCCTTTCCTTTCCTTTCCTTTCCTTTCCTTTCCTTTCCTTTGTTCAACTCAAAAACTCCACTGCTGCTGTTTTATACTAGTAACATTTAAAATGGATTCTGGCACAGCTGTCTGCTCTGACAGCCACAGCAATAAGCTGAGAAGCAGAAATTAAAAACTTTCAATAAGGTTGATGTTGGAAAACTGAGCAGCTCCTGTTCCTACCTCTCTGCAGGGAGGAAAGTGGGTGAGGGGACAGAGTGAAACTTGAAGATTCTTTTTGCAACACTTTTTGAAGTGTTTTTTTTTGCAAAGTCTTTTTGAAGCTGCCAGACAGGTCAGACATGGGGAGGGAGGAGTGATCCCACTCTGAGAGTTTTGGTTTGGACAGCACTTGGCTTCCCAGTTTGTAGGCAAGGTGCAGATCTAAGGCAGATTTTTCTGCTGTCACCCTGAACAGGAATTGGTTCTCTAAAAGCACCTGAGCAGGTCAGAGAAGGGAATCCCTGCCCAGCCCAGGCTGGGAGCAGCAGCAGGGCAGAGCTGCAGGATTTCTGGATCAGCCCTGCCAGGAAGTGCCCGAGTTTGCAGCTGGAATTCCTCAGGTATTTCCAGCAGTGCTGGCACCTGAGTCAGGCACAGCTTCCCCATGGATCACACTGGGAGTGCCTGGGGAGGGGGCAGAGAGGGGGAACAGAGGCAGGAAATGACAGAATGGCTTTGGGGTGGCAGGACCAGCTCCCATCAGCTGCAGGCTCTGAGCCCAGCACTGACTCACACACCACACTGGCCCAACCCCTGCACTCAGAACAGCCCCCCAAATCCCTCCAGCAGGAGAAAAACCCCACATGCAAATAAAGATCATCCTTATTGGGAAATAAATAACACTAGACATGAGAGAAGCAGCAGACTTTGTCAATAAAAATAAATGCAGATGCTCTGTTAAATGCTAAAGAGCATTTTCTGAATTCCACTGGCAGCTCCCACAAAGTTTCATCACATCCAACTCCAGTGTGGACACCAGGAGTCAGGATGGGTGACACTGGTTTGGGAAAAGAAGTGAAAATTAAGAATGCCACAGGTTTTAAGAGGCATTCCCAGCACAGCCACTTCCCACGAGTCAGACACAATAAATCAATTTGCCTTAAGCACATCAAACAATCTGCTGAGAGGAACAGCAGCAGCTTCAAAGAGCAAAAAAATATTGTCTCAGCAGCACTAAGAAATGGTTCTTCTTTTGCCACCAGGTGTGGAAACACTAATTAGAGCAGTTTATATAATGTAAAAGAATAACTTTGTAGTAATTTTTTAGCAAAAGAAAACCACCTGCTTTAAAAGCCTGGTCCCTGTCAGGGCTGCTGAGGGGGGCGAGGCTGCTCAGGTTTATCAGATTTATCTTATAAATGCTCAGGTTTATCTTGTAAATGAGCTCACACATGAATTATCACACTCTAGGGCACACCCAGCAGTGAGGTTTTGGGGTTTTTTTGGTTTGTTTTCTTTTTCACTTCACTTGTGAGAGATCTGCTAGAGTTTATTCCAACAGACAATTGGATAATCTGGAAACACACCAAGCTCTAGTGCTCCCAAAATGCTCCCATAAAGACTTCTGAGGATACTAACCTAGACTAAGGGGAGTCTGTGGCAGATTAAAATAAATTAATTACAAGAATTAATTAGATTAAAATCATTTAGTATGAATCCATAGTGAACAGAGAGTCCATTCAGCAGGTTCATAACAACTCAATGGAAGAGGAGAGGAACAGAAATACAAAAGTGGCTGAGGATCCTTTGGGACAGGGCACAGATCTCCAGGATGGGAAAATCTAAAATATTGACAGCTGCAGAAAGCTTCCACAATGCCAAAAGCCAAGTAAAACTGTAGGCTGGTAGATAAGACAAGGAATGGAGCTTGAAGGAAAGCAAACATTTCCAATTTGTGTCGAGCACTGCAAGGGGGAAAAGCATCCATGCTCACAGTGAGAACATCTGTGCCCAGCAGCAAAGGAGGACACTGGGAGTTATCAGAACAAACAGAGGGGGACAAGATCCATCTAAAAGAGCCTGGCCTGAGGTAGGTGCAGGTTTTACTGCCTCTGTGTCTGTGAATTAAACACCAGCACGGAAGGAAATGTGGCCAAGGGTCAGGAGCTCAGCAAGATCACCCAGAACGGGCTGGGAGCTTCTGTAGCACAACAGAATCGGGATAAACCAACAGGCAGGGAGCAGGCCGAGCTCAAACTCGGTTATATCGCTACCACAATTAAACATTTACACAGCGGGCAGGGGAATACAGAAATAATCTGATGCCTGTGACCGAGAGTGGACTGTCCATGACTCGTGTTAGCTCCTGGCTGGACACAGCAATGCCGGTGGGCTCCACACACCCCCAGCCGAGCCAACAAACCAACCGGAGCAAGGCCGAGCAGCTCCGTTCCGCCGCGGGGAGCACCGGGCCCGCCGTACGGGGCACCCCGGCCTTCCCCGGGAAACCCGGCCGCGAGGGACGGAAATGGGGACGGACAGGCGACAACAACGGCACCGGACTCTCCGTTACCGGGAAGGACCGGAGCGCGTCCCCAGGGCCCCGCACCCGACGGGCGGGGGGGGCCGGGTTGCCATGGCGACTGCGCCGGGCCCGGCCCGTCCCGGGCAAAACCGCCATGACAACGCCAGCCCCCTTCCCCAGCACAGAGACGCCCCCCAAACCCTTCCCCGCTGACCTGGGAGGGGCGGCGGACGCGCCCTCAGCACATCCCGGGCGGCGGAACCGGACGGAGAGCGGCGGGCACGGACACCGGCGGCACTTCCTCAACCGGGCACCGCGCAGTAACGAGCCTCCCCATTGGCTGGCCGCTGAACACGTGACCGCGGGTGCTGCGCATGCGCACCGAGGCGCGCAGGTCTCCTGAGGTCACGTGGGCGGCGTCGAGCGGGGAACGCGTCCGTAATTGGGGGGGGGGAGGTAATTAAAGGAGTCCTCAAAATCCCTCCGGGACCCCCAAAATCCCCTCAAGGACCCCCAGACTTCCCCCCGGAACCCACAAAATCCCCTCAGGGACACCCAAAATTCGCTCAGAACCCCGAAAATCAACCCCGGGACCCCCAAAATCCCACTCGGGAACTCCAAATTCCAACCCGAGACCCTCAAAATATCCTCAGAACCCCAAAAATCCAACCCAGGATCCCCAACCCCCCCCCCCCCCCCCCGGGACCCCAAAAGCTCCTGACTCATGACCTCCAAAATCCACCTGGGACCTCCAAAACCCCTCAGGGACTACCCCGATCTCCTCATCTCCTCACAGACCCTTCTGGAGGATCTGAGACCCACAAAATCCCCCCATGGGACCCAAAAATCCACTCGGGACCCCCAAAATCCCTTTCGGGAGCCCAAAAAATCTGCCCAAGACCCCTAAAATCCCACCCAGGACCTCCAAAACCCCTCAGGGAGCACCCCCGATCTCCTCACAGACCCTTCAGGAGGATTCAAGACCTCCAAAATCCCCACAGGACCCCCAAAAATCCCCTCAGGCCCTTGGGAAACAGGAGATGGTCCCTGGGTCACCTGCCTTGAAGTTGCCTCAGCCCTTCAAAGGGAAAGGAGGCAGGGGAACTGTCACAGTGTAAGGACTTGGTGCTATTCATGGTTCTAATCCTGAAGTCAGAAGTTCTGAAGGGTTTTTCCTTGTTGTTGAAGCTCTAAAAAGTGAGATGAGGCAGGATCTCTGAGTTGGAAAGCACCTACAATGATTGCCTAGTCCAACTGCCTGACCAAAAGTTAAAGATCCTGTTTTTATTATGGGTTCAGCTGAACTGGAGGTTGAACTAGGGCATCTCCAGAGGTTCCTTCCAACCCCAATTACTCCATGATTATTATTAATAATTAATAACTTCTTTCCACAGTCTCCTTGCCAGCTGTTCCATTCAAATCAGATTTTCCCACCTTAATTTGCCTTTTTTTTTTGCAGCCACTGTGGAACCACAGGTGCCACATCTCACACAGGACAGCAGCAGCAGCAGAGATCTTTGTCACCCCTCTGATGTGTAGGAAGAGACCCTTTTTTCCTGCTTTTCCATCCTGCAGAGGGGGCTCAGAGAAGCACAGCAGGACAGCAGAGGGCTGGACACACCTTTGGCCAGCTCTGCTGTCCATCCCAGGATGGTTCCATGCATTCCTGTGCTGCACTCAGAGCTGCCCAGCACAGCCCTGCCAGCCTTTGGCCATTTTTCCAGCCAGCATTAACAAAACAGCCCAAATCTCACCCCAAATTCTCAAGAAGCACTGAGTGAGGTGTGCACAGGGTATTTCCCCAGCATGAAAATCCTAGATAGATCTTCAAACAATCTCTTTTAGTTTCTGTTGGTATTAGTTTCTCTGGGCTTCTGCTATAATACCTGGAGCCATTGGAAATATATTCCATCAGATCTGCTGTTCTGTACCACACACCCAATATACCGAGGCTGGTGAAATTCCATTTCAACAAAAATTCATTTTCCCATGCTGTAACATGTCTGGTTTTTGCAGAAACCAGGTGCTCTTGTGCAGTTTAAAAATCTGACACTCTTCACTGGCAAGAATATATCCCAGCAAAGTTATGCAGCTGATCAAAATGCAGAGCACATACCAATGGGTCACTGCAGCCCCACATGGGTTTTGTCCCCACCCCAGCACAAACCTGACAAGTGGGACCTTCTAATCACTGGAAAGAGAAGAATCCAATTGTTTGAAATTGTTCTAATTCTTCAAAAAAGAAAGCAGCAGATTTTTTTGATGCTTCTTAAATTGTTTCCTTTAATAGGAAGTGCTGCTTTACTCTACCTTGTGCTTCAGAAACAAACGTTTGCCTTCCAAAAATATACAGTGTACACATCCTCTGTAGCTATAGATACAAACATTTACAAAGAAACAAGCAGGCTGGAGTGGAATAGCTGGGGGAAAAAAAAAATAAATCACAGAAGGCCTTCCCAGAGCCAGAGCAGCCGGGCTCACCCTGCTGTAAACAGCTCCAAAACCCCATGGAGGAACATCAGAAAAACCTCCACACCCCGCAGAGGTTTAGGAACGTCAGAAAAACTTCCAGAGCCCGCAGAGGTTTGGATGGAGGAATTGCAGAGGAATTGATGTTGTCCATTCCCATCCCCTCCTTTTGTCCCGGGATGTGCATCCCGCCCCCAGCCCCAGCGCGGCGCTGCCCGGGGCCGCGGGCGGAGCTCGGCTCTGCTGCTCCCAAGAGGAAAAGGCGCTTCCCAGGCGTTTGTTTTTTGTCTCTGGGGCTTGCCGGCACCCAGGGCTAGCGGATGGGCCGGTAGGGGAAGGCCACGCCCGGGATGAAGGTCTGCACGGGGTGCGCGGGCAGCGCGGGGTAGCCCAGGGGAGGGGTGTGGATGTGCGGGTAGAAGCCGGGGGGCAGAGCCCCGTGCGTCGGCTGCTGCACCGGGCCCGAAATCACCAGCTGGAGCAGGCTGTGGGACGAAATTCAGACAGGAGAGACGTGATTAGAGGAGCTTTTGTTGTGGCTCTAAGGATAATTCGCATGCAACTCACAGCGCTGCTGTGAAAAGTGCATATTACATGGCTCTACGCAGATATTTACCATATGAATTCTGATTAGTAGTGCTGTATTAGCATTTTACTAATAAATGTAGTCTTGTAATTAAAAGGTAACTTTTGTAGTTAAAATAAGAACTATGTTAGTGGGATTTTTTTAAGAAAGGAATGAGGCACTTGCACCAGATAGCAGCCAAAGGACACCTCAATCTTTCAGAGAAAAAAAATTATTGCTCTCTTATCAGAAGAAATTAACTTCTTCCCACCTCGAAGGTGCTGTTAGGATTAAAAGGAAGAAGTTGATGATGACCAGACAGAATCCTGTATTTGAATGGAATTTATGCATCATGTATGAATATGCAACAGGCTGTTGTTTTTAAGGGTTAATCCTCTGTTAACGTGGGTCCTTTTTCAGGCTCGTGCTGCCCAGAAAAGGTACCCAGACTGTCTGTAACTCTTTGTCTCTATTGTCTCATATTGTCCTCATTCAAATTGTCCAAATTATTATTACTCTAATTGTATTACTATTTTTATAACCATTTTATTACTATTAAACTTTTAAAATTTTAAAAACAAGTGACTGGCGTTTTTCACACTGCTGAGCACCAGGAGAACAGTGACACAATTCTGTTCTTTACAGCTGCCAGGAGAATTTTTTTTCCCTTTTTGTTAAGCCCTGCTCTTTTAGCAAAAAGGCAAGAAGCAATTGCAAAGGCAAGAGCTTAGAGTCAGGTAAAACCAGTGGGGAATTAGAGATGGGATAATTTAGGAGCAGGTTCCTTGCTGGAATTTCATTTCCCTTTCCTGTGCCTTTGTTGTAACACACGATGGGAAAGATCACCCACAGGTGGGAGCACTGAAGGCCCTTTCTGTCAGGAATCAAGGAAGAAGCAGCCAGCACTGTGTCACCTTCATTCTCGTGCTAAAGTGCACATGAATAAAGGCCAAATTCCACGAGGATAAACTTTTAGAGGAGATTTTGTCTCAGCAGCCCTTGAGTGTCTTGGAACATGCATCAAAGCCAACACAGCTGTAAAAAGTTTCTTACTTGTTATGTGGTAGCCTGGAGCACACAGTCCTCAAGTCATCTGAAAGAGGACACAAGATGAACAATAAGGATAAAGCAGAAATTAGAGTGATTTTCCTCTCTGCTGTCCTGTCTAGGAAGGTCAGATCACTGAATAATCATTAATTTTACTGATTAATTAGTGATTACTGAATCTGTCAGTAACCTGTCATCATCATCAGTCAGCAAGAGATCCAGAATTCCTCTCTCAGACCCAAAACCTTCATAGCAGAGAAAATGTTTCTCCATTTCACCAACTCTCCCCACCAGCCCCTTCACTGTTATATATGTTTGATATTTAAGAGAGATAAGCCTTAGGGTGGATTTTACAATAGCAATACATCAACAAGAAGTAACTGAGACATAGGAAGCACAAGGTGTGACTCTGCCCAGTACCTGTTTTGTATTGGTTTTGGGGTTTTAACCCCTGCTACTGTAAAGAATGGGTTGGGGTTTTCTTGCTGGAAACTATCAACTAGAAATTGCACATTTTTTACCATCTCCAAACTTCTGCTAAAGCTAGAACCAAGGAATTTAACATATCCCATTGATAAAGTGTTTTCAGGAATAGCTTAAGAACAATCTCCTGCCTTTGTAGACACACACAACCCCAAAACACTGAAATATTGGTATTTCAGCAGCCCCTTATACTGAACTACCTTCCACAGAAAGAGCAATGCTCAGAATGTTCCAGCTAAGAACAAACACAGCTGAAATCAGCCCTCAGATCAAAAAAATCTGATTCCTGTTTGTTCTTATAACACTCAGAGTTACTTTATAAAAGATGAGGAGGAAGAACAGTGAAATTTGACCAGCAGCACTGGTTCAGCCAGGACAAAAGGATCAGATCCCTGCTTAGGCAGAGGCAGTTGTTGGTACTTAATGTCCCAGCTGTTAGAGAGCTTCAAGCCCTCTGGTATAACCTAAAATTGTCTGGTTTTAAAGAGAATATCACAAGAAAAGAGTCTGTGTGGCTGACCCTGCCCTGTGTTGAGCCACTTCCCTTTTATCTCTCTGCATGGCTTTGGAGACAGGAAAGCCAGACAAAAGCCATGCTAGCAGCCCTTTTTTACTGAGTTTAGCTGAATTTGGACACCCTGTAATGGGGTCTCATTATAGGTGAGCTGAAGTCACAAAAGTTTCAGTTGAAGATAAATTATTTGCTTTTCACATTCTTTGTTTAGCACACCCACCCAGGGGTTCATGTGCTTCATGGCCTCTCCTCCAGCTGCAGACTCAGAGAACTTAAACTGAAGAAAATCGAACAATGCTTTTTAAATAGCTACAGGCAATTCTGAGGGGAACAAAGTGTCCCCATGCCAGCCACCAGATACAACCCCTGGTGCAGAGTGCAGGGCTGTGGATCAGTCCCCACTCTGCAAAGCAAGGCCTGACCCACCCACAGCAGTGAACTCTCCTTTCTTACTCTCCATCCAGCTATTTTTTCTGAACTATTTTGTGCCCTATCACTTTCTAACAAGGGCAAACTACTGATTATGGTGTGAACACCTTGATCTTTATTCCCTCACCCCTAAACTGCCTCTTACAACTTCTGGAGGAGAAGAATCCCATGCCAGGTCTCTGCCAGCCCCACAGACAACTCACCTCTGGTGCACAGGAGAGCTCCTGATGCCATGGCCACTTGCAAAGCCTGAGCCAGCCTGTCCAGAGCAAGTTCAATCTCTTTGGATGCATTGAGAGGATTGAGTTCATCAGACAGTCTGTTAATGTCCTCCACCAGAGGAACCACGTGGTCAAAGGGTACCAGCCCCAGGCGCCCATAAAGGTTTTTCTCCGTTAAATGCCCCTGGAGCATCATAAGAACCTGCAGGACACTCAGATGCAGCTTGGAATAGAGCTGGTGGCAATCCCTGTCTTCTCCTGAAGCTGAGTCCTTGGCAATTTTGTTGGGAGGGTGTCCATTGGAGAGAGAGGCTTTTTTCTTCCTGGTGTAGGCCAGGGGGGCCTTGACGCACCAGCGGATGAGGCCGGTGAGCGGGGTGAGCTCCAGGAATCCCATGGGCAGGTTGGCTGCGATGGGAGTGTTCAGGAAGGTGATCAGGATCAAACGAGGGTCCTCAAAGATCCAGGAGACAATCAGCTCCAGCAGGTCTGAGGGAGGGATCAGGTCATCTGCAGATAGGAGAGTTAATGGTGGGTAAGCTGAGCCTTTGTTACTTTATTTATTAATTCAGCTTCTAATTAGGCTCTCACACCCACCCATCCTATGCTGTCCCAATTACAATCTCTGAACCTCCCCAGTTCTGCTGTTTTTCCCAAGACACAACCATGTTCCTGTCAGCTTCCCCACCTATTCCAAAGACACCACCAAACACTGATATTTATCCCCTTTCCCAGCCAAGATTCTCTTGTCATTTTCTTCTCTGCCACCCATCATCTGCTCATTTTTTCCCTAATTTAAGTCTCCATTTGTTCCTTGCCACAGGAAGTACAATGGGCAAGGGAAATAGCAAAAGATTGTTGGGTGAAGAGAAGGAAGTGCAAATAACTAATTTCTTTTAATACTTACATACTAAACAAACGTGTCTTGTGGAAAAACACAATGCAACAACACAATTACATGACATATAAAGGATTATAAGATTATGTAAAGCTTCAGGTGAGAAGTGAAAGATGGTCATGAACTTGACTACAGACAAGAGAAACCCTGACACATCATCCTCCCACAGGGGGAATGCTGCAGTGGAAGAGCAAGCTCCCTTTTTCTGTGTCACCAAAAACATCTCAAATAAAATAAGGAATTAAAAAATTACTTCCTATGACTCAAGTTATTTCCTTTCTGACATGTCTTTCTGACATGATGATGGGATATAAAATATGCTCTGAGCTCTACCAAATACTTTATAAAAACAACATAAAGGCTAAGCCTGAACCTCTCTTTCACCCTCAGTAATGCCAAGCTGTTTATCTGGAGAAGAGTGTGCAAAGCATTTCCTTTATCAATAACAGCATTTGCTTTTCTGGATTGTAGGTGGTGTTGGTACTTAGTGTATGGCTGTTCTCTGGTCTACCATGAGCTTTCTGTGGCTGAGTAGAGCTAAATCAATCTTATTTTAGACACCTAAAAGTGTCTGAGCAACAACCTGAGGCAGGCTGTACCACTGGCAGGTCACACACACAGTTAAAGAGTGCACTGGAGTTATGTTGATTGTGTTTCTCACCACTGCTCCATAGAAATCCTGCTCCAGCCTGCCAACATTCAGAACTTGTTTAACCCCTTTTTGGAAGGGATCAGACTGAGAGGCAGCCCTGAGTCTCTCTCAGGGCTGACTGAGCCCAGACAGATCAACTTTCACTCCCAGAGCTGCTCAGTCAACAAGGTGCCATGTCCTTTGCCCCCTGTGGAGGACAACTCCCTTTGTGTCAGGTGTTCCTGGCTGCTTCTCCAGCACAGACTCTCCCTTGTTTGGCTGTGGACTCCAAATCCCTGGAAGGGTCCAAGGCCAGGCTGGACAGGGCTTGGAGCAACCTGGTCTAGTGGAAGGTGTCCCTGTCCACAGCAGGGCGTGGAACAAGCTGAGCTTTAAGGTCCATTCCAACCCAAACCAGGCTGGAATTCTAAATCAGCCACAGAGGGGTTATTTTTATTCTCAGCCCAGTGCCAGATGAGGCAACAGCCACACCCCTGAGCTTCCTCTGGCAATAATTACATGGTAACACCTCTTCAGCATTCGAGCAGTTACATCTCTTGCAACAGTTCACTCGTGGTGCATTACACTGCACCTCTCACTAGGAAAGAGGCACTTTTACCTGAGGAGAGGTCGTAGAGAGCTGTGACTGATGTGATGAACTGGCAGCAGAAGCGAGGGCTGGCAGTGAAGATCTGCTTCAGGGTCTGGATGGAGCCTGGCACCAGGTTGCAGTAATCATCCACCAGGGCTCGGGCCAGCCTCACACAGAACACAGCTGGGGTCCTCTGCAGGGACAGCACACAGGGCACACAGATCACACCTGTCACTGTGTCCCCACCTGCCCCTCGTGGCACTGCCTTGCTGTGGGTGCTCTCTCTCAGCTCATCAAACACCCACTCTCACAGAAATAAAATCACTGTATTGCAATGTCAAAATAGATGGTGGTATCTTGAGTTTATGTCGCAGACATCTTTTATGAAAAATCCTTTCCTTAGGATTTTTCCTCCTGAGAAGCTGAGAGGCCTCAGGAACAAAATGTAAACATTAATTATCTGCTGCTGTGGAATGCAACAGCTGGATCTGGGATTGGCCCATGTTGGATGTTTCCAATTAATGGCCAATCAAAGCCCAGCTGGCTTAGACAGATTGTCATCATTTCTATTCTATTCTATTCTATTCTATTCTATTCTATTCTATTCTATTCTATTCTATTCTATTCTATTCTATTCTTAGCTAGCCTTCTGATGAAATCCTTTCTTCTATTCTTTTAGTATAGTTTTAATGTAATATATATAATAAAATAATAAATCAGCCTTCTGAAACATGGAGTCAGATCCTTGTCTCTTCCCTCAACCTGAGACCCCTGTGAACACCATCACAAGTTTACAGTAGCTGTGGCTTAAAATCGAAACCTTTTAGATCAATATTTTGACTTAGAGGTTTTTTTTACTACTTCAGCAACATTTCTTCCCTGTGAGGGCAGTGAGGCCCTGGCACAAGTTGCCCAGAGAAGCTGTGGCCTCTCCAACCTGGTCTAGAAGAGCTCAAGGCCACACTGGACAGGGCTTGGAGCAATCTGGGATAGTGGAAGGTGTCTCTGCAGTGGGTGGAATGGGATGAGATTTAAGGTCCCTTCCATCACAATCCATTCTGTGATTCCATGATTCTAACACAGGTCTGTAGTTTAAATGGTTCAGCTGCCATGCCTGATATTTTTAATGTGGAAAATATTCTGTGAAATCCTCCTGTCACTTAAAAGCTGCCATCTGAAATAAAAATACACCTTGTCCTGCTGTCCAGGTTATGTCCCATCCTGCCCTCCCAAAAACTCACCATGTGGGAGAAAAGGGACCCTCAGCAAACAGGAGATCTGCCTCCTCCTCCCTTTTCTCCCAGCACAGCCTTCCTGCTCTTGCCCCTGTGTCAGCTGTGACTCCTGCACATCCCACAAGGGCAGCAGGAACAAGGTGCACTTCCCAGAGCCCTCAGTGGGGAAGGAGAAGATCTCCAACCTACTGCATTCACAGAAGGTAAACACAGGTATTTTGTGCCCAAATTTCAGACAGGGGTTTGCCTCTTCCACACCCAAACCTGCACATCAGGAAGGGTTTATTTCCCACACTCCAGAGTCAGCTTCTTCAGGCAAGGTTTGCTCCCTGCTTTGGTCAAACCCTCCACTGAGCCCTTTCAATATGCAGGGTTTGGAGGGATTATTAAAACTTTCACAGTAAAAAAACCCACCCAAATAATTTTTTTCTTCCATTGCAGCATATGAATGGATTGGCAAAGCTCTCCCTGATGCCAGAGCACAGGAATGGACATGAGCACAGACATGGGGCAGCTGCAATTGCCAGAGAGGAGGAGCTGACTGTGACCAGCTGTGCCCCAGCTCACTGTGCCCAGCCTGGAGCACACCCTGACCCCTTCCCCCAGGCCCCCCTGCCTGCACAGGAGCTGTACCTGCAGCCAGAAGGCAGCACACTCCAGCACAGGCACCCTGCAGACAGCCACTGCCATGGAGACCAGCTTCCCCAGCAGGGCCATCCTGCTGTCATCTGCTTTGTTCCCCTGGGGGCTGAAGAGAGATGAAAAGATGACCTGCCGGACTGAATCCTTGGTCTGCTCTTGGAAATAATTGCACATGATCTCAAGGAGCTGAAGTTCCTGAAGTGGGGTCAGTCTCTGAAAGAAAACAAAAGCAAAGCTGTAAAATACACTGAGCCTCTTGAAGGACCATAAAACAACTGAAAAGACAGGAACAGCAAAGGCTGAGAGCTTCCTTTTGGGCTGAGGGACTCAATCTTTATGCACAGCACACACATCTAAGCTTCTTGAACCACCAGTGCATCTATCTGGTGACACTGAAGAGCTCCAGGTTTCATCTGAACACCAAAGCTGTTGCTTGCTGCACCTGCAAGTGCTGCCCACCAAGTGAGAGATGAGACTGACATTGCTGGGGGAGGAAATATTTCCTCCCTCTGCAAATAGCAGCACTGAGGGCCCTGCACGGTAGGTGGGGGCAGAGCTGGCCTCAGCAGCACTGAGAGCTGCAGGGCCACGTACCCCAACAGCCACCAGCAGCTGTGGCTTCTCACTGCTCATCTCTGAGCCCCAGCTCCATCCCAAACCCCCCAAACACCCTGGCAGGGCCCAGCTGCAGCACTCAGGGGCTGTGGGCAGTGCCCAGGGCCTCCATCACACCCGGAATCCTGGGCAACCATCAGGGACTGGCCAGCAGCCCTCTCCCTGCCAAAAACAGTCACCAGCACCCCAGGGACCCCGGGCTGAAGTCTTGGGGCCTCAGCCTCCACGAGCAGAGCCTCAGGGACCCAGTGCTGCCCCTCTGAGCCCTCAATATCCAGCAACAGAGCCTCAGGGACCCAGTGCTGCCCATCTCAGCCCTCAGCCCGCAGAAGCAGCCCGCGCCGAAGGGACCCTGTCCCGTTCTGAGGCCTGAGGCTCCAGCAGGGATCCTGTCCTGAGCTCCTGGGCGTGCCCTCCTTGTCCCCCGCGCCCGCCGGGCCCGTCCCGCTCCGCCCGGGGTGTCGGTGCCGCACCTTGGGCGGCGCTCCGCGCTCCTTGGGGACCTGGAAGAGGAACTCTTCGAGCAGATCTGTGGGGCCCTTGTCCACGAGCGGCAGCGGCGAGTTCTGCAGCTGGCTGCTGAAGTAGATGTCCAGGTGGTAGAGCACCTCCTTGGCGGCGCTCAGCGCGTCCCGCCGCAGCAGCGAGTGCCGGATGTCGCTCATGGCCCCGCTCCCCTCCCGGTCCCGGTCCCGCTTCGCTCCCGGCCCCGCTCGGCGCGGCCTCCCCTCGGCGGCGCGGACGGGCGGGCGCTACGGCGGCCCGGCCAGGACAAAAATGATCACGCGCTGCCGCCGCCGCCGCCGACAGCGCCCCCTGGCGGGCCCGCCCGCGGGGGTAACGGGAGTTCGGCCGTGAGGGAACCGGGCCCGGGATGGGCAGGAGCACTTGGGCATGGGGACAGCTTGTCCTGGGGGACTCAGACAGGCGTCCCAACCCTGGGAGGAGCCTGGCCCTGAGGGGGTCTCGGCCCTGGAGGAATCTTGGCCCCGGGGGCTGGTGCTGGGGTTGAGTCAAGGGGTCTCAGCATGGAGGGGTCTGGGCGTGAGGGGATATCGTCCCTGCGGGCTGCTCCTTGGGCTGGCTCAGGAGCTCCTGGCTTGGGAGAAGCTTGGCTCTTGACTGTGGGCTTTGGGAAGTGCACCTTTGTTCCTGCTGCCCTCGTGGGATGTGCAGAAGTGGGGTTTAGCCCTGGGGGGAGTATTGGCCCTGAGGATGGTCCAGCCCTGGGGGTGTTGGCATGAAAGGGCTCTGATCTTTGTGGGGTCTTGGCCCAGAAGTGGTGTTAAACCCTGGGACTCTACTCTGAGGGGATCTTAGCCTGGTGAGACAGTTTCTGGGGGGACCTTGGTTCAGGAGAGTCTTGCTCCTGGGTCTGGCCCCTGGGGGGGTTCCTGACCTGAAGAGGGATTGACCATGGAGGGTTTGGCTGGGGAAACCTGGGTCCAACCTGGGGAGCCTGTTGGGGGGGTCTAGGTCCAGCCCTGATCCCACTGTGGGGAGCACCCATTCTCTGGAGGGTGCCTGGCTCCAGGGGAGAGGCTGGCAGGGCCCCCAGCCCCCTAAGGATCACTGCAAACCTTCTGGGAACCATGGCAGCTGCCTTTGGAGGCAGGGACATCAGCCAAGGCCGCTGTGTGAGTGGCTAGGGTGGAGGGCTGCCACCCCCCAGCACTGCATGGCCCTCCCAGGGACAGGGCCTGAGGCAGGGCACCTCCTGGGGAGGGTCTGGCGGTGGGCACCATGGCAGGGATTTGTTATTCTTTTGTAGCTTTTGGCTTCACACCCAAAGACCACACTGGGATGGCTCCTGCTAGCCCCAGCACACTCACAGCTTGTTGGAAATGTGGGGTGCTGGGTGGGAATGATTTGTGTTGGTGAAATAAACGCTTTTTAAGAGAATTTGTATCTGGTGATGAGTGAGAGCTGCCCATGCCATGTATTGGGAAGCTGCTGATCCCCACAAGAGATCTCTGACATTCATTCCACCTTGCAGAGCTCTTGTTGGCATTTTAATCCCTCTCGGCCTTACCTGTGGTGGGAGGCATTGGCAGAGGTTGAAAGAGCTCTTTTTTCACTGAGCAGACCTTTGCTTCCGTGAAAAATGCCATATGGAGCCTGCGGCCTCACATGATCCTTGGCTGGGCACCCACCTGGCAAGGAGAGAGTGTCCCTCTCCATAAATGCAGGTGCAGATCCTTCCCCCTCCAGAGTCCTCGGACAACATCAAAGGTAGGTCCTGCTCTCCTCTCTTCCCACCCTCCCAGGAGCTTCCCTTCACAATGTCACCTCCTCCAGCTCAATTCTACCACAATGCTCTGCTGGGCCAAACCTGGGTGCAGCTCGGGGGTGAACATGCCCTTTGCAGGTGCCTCTGCCTGGGAGGTTCAGAGGCTGCTGTGGTCTCCAGGAGTGGGGAGGATTTATGGGGCTTTGGGAAAATTTTGGCATGACCAAATCATGGCATTGCCAAATGGCTGCATTATCAACTGAAGGGACTGTTGTATTAGAGGGAAGAGTTTGGAGCAGGAATGCCAGTGGGAAAAGTGAGGATTTAACTAGAGCAGCTGCCCAAGAAGAAAAAGTGAGCTTGAGGCCAGCAAATCCTTCCTCAGGCTCAGATTTGGTGTACCAAAAGCTGGAGCATTTGCCTGTTCTCTCAGCCCGTTTATCAGGCACTCAGGAGCCCAGGCTGGTGAAACATTACCCCAAGGCAGTCGAGTGCCAGGGGAAATCCTTCCCAAACACCTTCCCCGCGGGTGGGAGCTGCAGCACTGCCTTTGCAGAGGGTCCTGAGGGAGCCAGCTGGGTAAGGATGGGGCAGGGGCACTGCTGGGTGAGGATGGGGGGCAGGGGAGGGGCAGGTTATCCAGGTGAGGATGCTCCAGGCAGTGAGAAGGTGGGGTGTCAGGAGGAGCTATCCCTTGCTCTGTCCCAGCACAACTGCTGTAGGGTCTTTGGGGTCTCTGGCACTGATCCAGGGAAAGGTGGGAGAGGCACAAGCCAAGGGATTTTGGGCTCCCTGGCCACTGCTATCAATCCAGGGCCAGAAGAGGTGTCCAGGCTGAGCTCTTCCTCATGGGGAATGAGGAAGTGACTGCTCTGTGTCACTATGAAATGACATTTACTTACTGGCCAGGGAATTTTCCACTCCAGCCTTGTGAGTGGCCTGGTCTCCTTCCAGGAGGGACAGGTAGGATGAGGCCCCATGCAACAGAGGTACAACCCCTGCATCCTGGTGGTTCCCCAGAAAACAGATGGCTCCCAGTGAAACCAGTATGGCCAGCAGGAATACCCTGGCTATCCCTGTTGTCTGTCCCAAATCCCCCTCTCAGCTGAGCCCCTCCTGCACCTCTGCACAGGATGGCAGCCTCAAGGCCGGTGCTGTCGGTGCTGGTCGCAGCTCTCCTGCTGCATGTGGCCACCACGCTGAAGATTGGTGCCTTCAACATCAGAGCCTTTGGGGACACCAAGATGGCCAACCAGACCATCGCAAACATCATTGTCTCTGTGAGTGTGGGGAGGAGCAGGCCTGGACATGCTCTGCTCTCTGGGATGCAGCCAGCTTGGGCAGTGGGACACCTGCTTCCTACATCCTTCCTTCCATCCATGCATCCATCCATGCATCCATCCATCCATGCATCCATGCATCCATCCATCCCTCCATCCATCCATCCATCCATCCATCCATCCATCCATCCATCCATCCATCCATCCATCCATCCATCCATCCATCCGTTCATCTACCCACACATCTTCTCTTCCCCCATCACCATCTCCCACCTCAGGCCATCTCCACCCTTGCAGGTCCCCAGTCAAGGCTGGGTGAATTTGATGCTGCCCAGGTTCCTCCCCTGGAGCAGCTGCTGGGTAGGTGGTGGTGGACACAAAGGGCACACCAGCACCGAGGTCCCTCCCTGGCCCGGAGATCCCTGCTGCCCTCCCACTGCCAGCCTGGGAGCCTTTGCAGCCCAGAAGAGCAACCCCAGAGCAGCTCCTGGCCAGGGGAGAGCAGCTCTGAGCTTGTCCCCCCAGATCCTGTCGGAGTACGACATCGTGCTGGTGCAGGAGGTGCGGGATGCCGACCTGAGCGCCGTCCATGACCTCATGGACCAGCTCAACAGGTGACCCAATGGCTTGGTGTGGGAGTGTCTGCAAAGGGGACTCTGGGGTGGATTCCAGCCCTGCCAGGGCACCTCTGGCTCAGCTGGAGAGAGCCTGGTGGATGCTGGGGAGCACCAGGAGCCTCCTCTCACCTTCTCCATAACTTGCTCCCAGTGCTGGGAAGCACCCATACGAGTTTTTGATCAGCGTCCCCCTGGGTCGGGGCACCTACAAGGAGCAGTACCTCTTCATCTACAGGTAAGGGATGCTGCCAGGGCTCACCTGCCACCCTCCCCAGCACCCCCAAAGGGGATGGGTACCTTTGGGGGCCTGGGCTGTGCAGGAGCAGTGCTGGGGGCTGCCCTGCTCTCCTCCCTCAGGTCAGACATGGTCTCCGTGCTGGGAAGCTACTACTACGATGATGGCTGTGAACCCTGTGGGAACGACACCTTCAGCAGGGAGCCCTTCATTGTGAAGTTCTCCTCACCCACCACACGTGAGCAGAGCCCACCTTGGGGGATGCCCAGACCTGGCACAGGGTCCCCTCCACGCAGGGCTGAGCCCAGAGCTGTGCCTGCCAAGCACAGGGGGGTTGCAATCCTTCACCAGGGTCCCACCCATGGGTGCCCTGGGGTCCTATGTCCCTGCCCAGCATGGCCAGTAACCCCTGCTGTTTCCCACCATGTACCATCTCCTACCAATCACCTGTCATCTCCCACCATGAGCTCTCTCCAGTTGTGTGCCATCTCCCATCTCCAGCTGCTTCCTATCGTGTCCTACATCCCATTATGTGCTACCTCCCATCTTGTGCCATATCCCACCACCTGCTTCCTCTGGCTGGGTGCCATCTCCCATCATGTACCATCTCCTATCACCTGTCATCCCCCATCCCTTGTGTCTCCCATCATGTCCCATTTCCCACTTCGTTCCATTGCCTACCCCATGCCATCACCTCCATCTCCTGGGAACCTCCTCAGGGCACACACACTATCCCATCTCCTGCCCAAAACCATATTGGCTTGCAAATGCTAATGGGAAACAAGAAGCAAACCCCAAACAATGCACAAAGGCATGCAGCTCCCCACTGGAATTTCCAGTCTGAGGGACAGGCAGAGTACCAAACTCATCACACCCTTTCCCTTCAACTACTTTTCCTGGCCATTAGCTGGGGCTTGGTCTGGGGTGGTTTCCTGGGTTTCCCATTCCCTGCTCAGGAGATGCACCAAGCCAGGGGCTGATGGCCAGCTGTCCTGCAGAGGTGCAGGAGTTCGTGTTGGTGCCTCTGCATTCGGAGCCCAGCCACGCAGTACAGGAGATCGACGCGCTCTATGATGTCTACACCGATGTCATCAACAAGTGGGGGACTAATGTAAGCAGCGTTGGGGAGCTTGGCTCCTCCCCAGGGCAGCAAGGGGATGAGCAGGTCCCACAGGAGGCCTCTTGTACCCATCAGAGCAGGGGCCACCCCAGCAGTCTCAGGCAGGGAGCTGCTGGATGGCCCTCCTGCCATTCCTGGGGGCTTGTCCCTGCACGATGGGTCACCTCAGGGGGATTTGTAGATTAAGAAATCTCCCTTAAGATTTTAGGGAGTCCTTGCTCCCTAAAGGGACAGGGACTCAGTGCAGTGCCCTGCA